ACCATTAATCTGAAGGATATAAGTGACAATAACTATTTATTTTTTTAAAATTTGTTCTTCACCAAGAAAAAGGAAAAAAAAAAAAAAGGTTGACACAGTACTCTTGTAGAAGTTAATCTTGTTTACACTACTTCCTATTTTACTTCCACTTCTTATAAAAAAAGCTTTCTAAGAAATTTATCTTCTATTTCTTCTAAAAACTCTTTTACCTAGACCAGCCACTCTTAACAAAGTATTTAACTAAGTTCAAAACTAATTTTTTAAATTTCAAAGATATCTTTCAGCTTTGGACAATTATTGTCACACAGGAAATATCCCATGCACTTGCATATGCATAGTAGGGCTGATAGGTCATATGACCCACCAATTCAACTTTTGAGGGATTTATTATTATTATTATTACTTTTTTATGGTTTTAAATCACAAATCACTCCTTGCTTCTCCTCATAACCCTTTTCAAAAGAAGAAGTACCCTATCTTCCAATTAAGCAAAAGAACCCGAGTTAAATGTTTCAATTACCATTGAACTTTGCTATATGTTACGATGTACTCATTTCACTTCACCATCTTTTTCAAAGGCATTCAACTTTACTCCATCCAACTCCATTGATCATTAGGTAGAATTCATTAGTAAACTTGTCTACGTGGATAATGGTAATTTGACATGGCCAATTAAATGTTAAGTTAATTGCCAAGCAACGCCATGTCAACTATATCCAAATTTTATTACAAATTGAAAAACGACTTTCCTTTCTTGAGGCAAAATCGTTTCTGTGGAAGTAAATGAATTGGTAATTGGCACAAAACGTCTTACCTTTCAATGTTATTGTACAAAACGTTCATACATTTCATTTTTTTTTTATATTTTTACCCTTACCTTCACCTTTTTTTATTGCGAAAATCATATTTTCATCAAATTTATTATGTAAAATGATAGGTATACCCCTATTTAAATATAACAATAAAAAAGAAAAAAATTAATAAATAAATTGTAATTATACTCAAAAACTTTTTAAAAAAGTGTAAATGAGTTCAAATAAATTATTAAAATGGTACTTAGCACAATACATCTCTACCTTTCAATATTATTGTGCAAAACGCCCTTATCTTTCATTTTTGACATTTTCACCCTTATTTCATATTTCATTGCGAAAATCGTTATTTTCATCAATTTTCTCAATTAAAAGCTGTAAAATGATAAATATATACCCTCTTTAAATAAACAAAAATAAAGAAAACAAAAATAAAAAACAAATTGCAAGTATATTCTCAAAATCTTCACAGAAGTACAAATAAATTTCAAATAAATAACTAAAGAAGAAATTGATTTATTTGTACTTTTTTTTTTTTAAAATTTGGGAGTTACAATTTGTTATTTATTTGATGATGAGGATATTTTTTTTTTTTTTTTTAGTTTTTACAGCTTCTAATTGAAAAAAAAAAAAAATAATTTTCTTTTTTTTTTTTTTTTTAGTTTTTACAGCTTCTAATTGAAAAAATAAATAAATGAAAATAACAATTTTCACAATGAAATATAAAAATAATGATGAAAATGTCAAAAAATGAAATGTATAGACGTTTTGCACAATAACACTGAAGTGACGTTTTGTGCTAATTAATCTTTTAATAATTTATTTGGACTCATTTGTACTTTTTTAAAAACTTTGAAAGTATGATTGCAATTTGTTCTTTAACTTTTCTTTTCTTTTTTATTGTTTTATTTAAATATGGGGTATATTTGTCATTTTATATAAGAATTTTGATGAAAATGATGATTTCCGTAATAAAAGATGAAGGTAAAGGTGAAAATGCCAAGAAATAAAAGGTAAAGACGTTTTTGTACAATAGCGTTGAATTATAAAGACGTTTTGATTTGTGCTAATTATCTAAATGAAATTACTCAAATTTAAACACGCAAACCCCAAGGCGAATTTGGCGATTTTGTCCCAAAATTCCATCCCAAGTTTCGCCATTCATCCTCTGGCCGTTACCATTTTCAAAGCGCCAAAACCCATTTCGATTCGGCCATTCCATTGCAGCAGATAGGGGTGGATTTAGGTGGTGGCCACCCTAATTGAAATCACCGGGAAGAATTTTTTTTGCTGATAATAGATACAATTTTTAGATTATATATTTGATAATTTATATTAAAAACAAACATCTCTGATAATTTAATTGGTTAGCATTTCCACTATTGAATTGAAGGTCCTGTGTTCGAAACTTTTCAAGAGTAATATTTTTTATATTTTTTGTATTTTAACAATTTTTATCAAAACAAATGTAAGGAGGGTTATTCGAACCTACTACATTCCTTAAACATATTAACCACTTTACCATCATGACATTTATTAATTTTTAACACGTAATGTAACAAAATAATATATATTCAATTTTACTAGTTTAATGCAAGTAGAAATATTTTAACCGGTACTTTGTCCCTCTTCTTGATTTTTTTTTTTTTTTTTTTGCCCTTTTTTTCCTTCTAATCAATTCATTTGAGAGTTTGGTCAATTAATGGTAGATGAATTTGTAGGAAAATTGACCTTAGTGTCATAAGGAATCTTTCAACAAAACTTATTTAATTAATAAAAAATTTCACTTTTCATTCACAAAAAATCGATTGCAAAAAAGTGGAATCATACAAGCACATAAAATTGATATAAGCACATAAATCATTTCAATTTTGTTAATATAATAATGCTTGTTTAATTCACTTTAATTGTAAACTAAATATTGGTATTTTGTTAATATATATTGTCTATTTAATTAAAAAATAAATTAGAGCATTTTGTAGGTTATAGAAAGATTTCTTCATCCAAAATAAAAATTCGCACCTAATTTTAGTTATCTAATTCTTCTAGTTTTAATTTTGCACGATTTTTTAAATATAAATATTAATAAATAACTTCAGCACTCGCGTTCCGTCTTAGCTCAACTCGACCCTGTACTCGCTGCTGGCAACAGATGAACCCTCTTCGGCTTTCCTCCATTCTTCCGCCATTCATCCTCTTGCAGCTTCCTTCGCCACTGCCTGCGATTCAGCCTCCTGCATTTGAGCGTTTCCGATTCCGCCTTGAAGATTTTCCGATTCAGTCGCTGCTTTTTCTAATTTCAACCTAAGCCAAAGCCGCAAAGCCCAAAGGTCCAAAGTACTCCATATGAGGTTCGAAGTACTCCATCTAACGTATGCCCTTTATTTTGAGCTTTCTCAATTATTGCATAATTAGATGGACAATGATAAACTTAGAAGTTGAAGAATTCTAAAGGCTTACGATAATCCCTTGGAACTTTCTGATAAAAGAATGAAACCCGTTTGACTTGTTCAAAATGATGAAGATCCAACAATGTTTTGACGAGTTATTTCACTCCTTTGTTATATCTTATATCTTCTGATGTTCCTTGAAATTTTTTTCTCATTAATGAAAATACTATTTTTATTTGCTAAATATCTGATGGTTGGCACTCGTTGAACAATCTTTTAACTTGCTTGAAAGACTATTTTGACTTTTACTGCTGTTCATATAACTTGCTGAGACACTAGTGATCAAAATTTCAAATTTAGTCATATGCATTTTCTTTCCTTGGGTGCATCCTGACTTATATTTCAAATTGCTGCATCGATTATCATTTCAGGGAAAGGCAGATTCTGGGATCAAAGCTGCTACTGAAGTTTGATATTGTTTATGAAGTAGTCCAGTTGGTTCGTAAAACTAAGCTGCTTTTTTGGTGAGATATATTCCTTTTGTTCTTTTCATTCTTACCATACTTTAAGCATTATTTTACTGATACAACTGAATGCGTGCACTCATGAAGTTTCCATTTGTATCGTGTGTAATGACACTGTAAGTGCTAACAGATGATGGCTTCTTCCCTGATAACTTACTAAGAAATGGCAGTTTTAGTGAATTCTGTCGACAAAAAGATAGATGGGTATGTAATGCAATACATTATTCTAACAGCACATTGGAAAAATCAGCTAAAGCATTCACACTTCCCTCGGTCCTTATTTATAACCATATAGATTTTATGTCTTGTTTCCTGGTTTAAAATTATTTTAATTGCTAGTATTTACTGTTTCCATATGTCTTTAAAAAGGTATTAACAGTTTCTCTTCACAAATTTAATTTGATGGATATTTTACAGTCAATCCTTAACTTTTGTTTGGTTACCTGCAGCGTTTTTCTGTAATAATTGGTTGACTCTGCTTTAGTTTCTGGGACATGAAGCATTTCTTTTCTCCTTCTTTCAGTAATTAAGGGGTAGAGGGCAATTCTATAAGTGATTGCAAAATTACCCATCAAAGACAGAAGGGTTGTGAATTAAATCTTTACGCACGTGTGTCACACTATGTTTTGATGAAATACTACTCCGGGGGATCAGGTTTATCAGCCAGTTTTCCAACCTCCTTTTAGTATCACCTTGTGAACATGATTGCTTCGATTCTTGGAATTTGAAATTTGAGATAATCGTCAGTTTTATTTTGGCGAAACATTATTCTAATCATTTATTATTAAAATGTATTTTCTTGGTCTGGACATCATTTTGTTAAGGTTTTTCTTTTTCTTTTTCTTTCTCTTTATTATTATTATTATTATTATTATTATTATTATTATTATTATTATTATTATTTTTGTCCGACTCTTTTACTGCTTGCATCTGGAATGTTCAAAAGTTACGAAAAAGAAGAAGAAGAAAAGTAAAGCAAGCGGGACATACTTTTTACATACTTGCCTTGTCCTTTTCTTATTTGAGACTTGAAGTTAACTTCATCTGTCTTTTCTACTATGATATCGAATCGTTTAATATTTTCACTACTTTTTTGCGAGTTTGATTGTGCTCTTCTAACTCAAAATGTTTACGTCCACCATGGATCCCCTGGTTCAGGAAATCACAGTTGAGCAACACATTTTTGAGGTAAAACGAGAGAAGACAGCTGTAAAGCTTTACTTATTTAGCGCCAATGCTAATGGCATTGCAAATGCTCCTCAAAGGTAATCAAAATTTTCACCAACTTGCAAATAAATTGCACCAGGAAACAGTTGGTGATATTCAGTAATGCCACCGTTAACATCATTGAAATCCATAGTAGAATCACTTTGTGATTTGAAAAAATTACGAGAAGCACTGTGGTTGATTTTATCGCGTCCTCTCGAAAAATACCATTATTGTCTCAGCTCAAAAGTTCTTCAGCTATGCATCGAGTTAAAATCCAGAAAATCAGGCCATCTGATTCACGGCCACCTCATAACAAATGGGATTCCTCTAAACACCTTCCTTATCACCAAACTGATCGTATTCTACTCAAAAATTGGTGATATGGAAAGTGCTGGTAAACTGTTTGATAGAATGCCTAAGAGGGACGTGGTCCCCTGGACTGCATTGATATCCGGGTATTCTCAAAACGGGGATTCAGAAAAGGCTTTGAAGATATTTTCTGCTATGCATAAGGAAGGCGTGAAAGCTAATCAATTCACTTATGGGAGTGCATTAAGTGCGTGCACGAACTTAATGTGTTTGGAGAGAGGGAAGCAAATACAGGGATGTGTGCAGAAGGGTAGGTATGTAGAGAACTTATTTGTGCTGAGTGCATTGGTTGATTTGCATTCAAAGAGTGGGAAAATGGAGGATGCTTATCGTGTCTTCCAGTTGATGGAGCATAGGGACTTGGTCTCTTGGAACACAATGATTGGGGGATATGTGGTCCAGGGGTTCAATGAAGATGCTTTTTTAGTGTTCCGTATGATGCTCCGAGAAGGTAGGCCAAATATTCATAGTTTGTGGATGATCATGGTCGCCTTTTTTTGTTCGTGCAATGTCATACCTTAATGACAATGATATCTGGTTCAGAAACCAATAGGCTTATTTGGTGATTTGTTACTCGTACTTTCATTTCTCAAATTACTTCTTCCTTATGATGATCCAATTTTATTTAGGCATGGTTCCAGACTACTTTAGCTTTGGAAGAATTCTGAGTGCCTCTGTTGGAAGTGGTGGGCTCATGAAAGTCAGCCTTCTTCATGGATACATCATTCAGCTCGGCTTTGCATCGCATACATCTTTGTGCGGATCCTTAATTGATGCCTATGTAAAATGTGGAAGCACAACCAGTGCGAATCAAGTATACAAGTTTATGCAGTACAAAGACATAATATCATGCACTGCATTGATCACGGGGTATGCTCGTGAAGGTACAAATAGTATTGATGCGTTGGAACTTTTCAGTGATGCACATAGAAATGTGGGAGTTGATGATGTCTTGTTGTGTTCCATGCTCAACATTTGTGCCAATATGGCATCACTGAACTTGGGAAGACAATTACATGCTATGGCAATGAAATATCAGAACCAGCATGATGTGGCCATAGGCAACGTCCTCATTGACATGTACTCAAAATCAGGAGTACTTGAATTCGCCAGACGCGTTTTCAATGAGATGGAGGAGAAAAATATAATTTCATGGACATCGCTAATCACTGGTTATGGTAAGCATGGCTATGGACACCAGGCAGTTGCACTCTATGAAAAGATGGAAGATGAAGGATTGAAGCCAAATGACATAACATTCCTGTCTCTTCTGTTTGCTTGTAGCCACAGTGGTTTAATTGTCCGAGGATGGGAATGCTTTAGTAATATGGTTAGCAAACACAACATCTTGCCGAGAGCTGAGCATTATTCTTGTTTGGTGGACCTTTTTGCACGCACAGGTCGTTTGGAAGAAGCTTATGATTTAGTATGCAAAATGAATGCCAAGTCTAATCCCTCACTTTGGGGTACAATTCTTGGTGCATGTAGCATCCATGGAAACGTGATTCTTGGAGAAATAGCTGGTAAGCGTCTGTTTAACATGGAGCCTGAGAACCCAGTGAACCATGTGGTTCTATCAAGTATTTATGCTGCAGCTGGCTTGTGGGACAATGCAGGGAAGACACGAGAATTGATGGAAGAGAAAAGTTTGTTGAAAAATACTGGGTGCAGCCTATTTCAATCCTTGATTACGAACAATGATCTTCTGCAAACGAGTTGAAGTAAAAAAAGAATTCACAGGTGCTACATTTCCCCCTTACATTTTGGATGACATTCCTCCATGTAGATGAGATCTGGCCATTGATGGAAAAAAGTGGTGTTTAAATCAATGTAGAAAAAATTGCCACCTTAAAAAATGTCAAAACTTATTTCAAAGTTGTACCTATAGCAGAAGTGATTTCAAATATGTAGATTATAAGGGAGAAAGTGAGAATTTTAAGAACCATCTTCTGGCTGACTTTAGGTACTAGAAAACAGTTAACGGGTTTTAATAAAACTTGATTATGCTAACGGGAAAAAATCATAGATATCCGTTAAAGTAAAAACAATTCATGATATACAATTTTTTTTTAATGTTCTTTATATACTGACTATCCTATGAAAAACACAAATAATTCTGTGGCCAAAACTTTCCCATTTTTTTGATTCTACAACTGAAATTTGAGGAACCTTAAATCAAGCTGGGCATTAAATAATATTGCAACGGAATGGGGATTTCAAATTCAATTTGTTTTGTGTCTGAATGAATGTGTAGCTGGCAATTTCGTATACCGTTCTCTGCGAGTAAAAAAATTTATCAAATTCAGCATCAGTAGGTTCATAATCTTCCACTTTTGGTGAATTATTTGCAAATTTTTGAATTTTTTTTTATCGATAATCAGCCATATTATCTTTTGATTGGTCGAATTCATGAAATGTCATAATTGTCCTTTTTTTAATGAATGATTTTCCTTTCAATTTTGTGGAAGACAATATATTTTATTTCGCATATTCCATTAAAATTCCAGTGTGGTTAACAGATATGCAATATAGATACCTTTGGTCTACCTGTGCCTGTTGGTTGCAAGTTTATGTTGTGGTGATGTCAGCTATATTAAGGATAGATTTGAAGATGGCTCGTTTAAAAATAGAGAATGATGTAGTGAAAATATGGCCTCGATTATTATTTCAAATTATAATATCCTACTGTTCTACTTGGAACTGAAAAAGAAGGATAGCAAATGACAAGTGCTAGGTGACTGTGAAGTTACCAGACTGTGGTAAGTAACTTCACTATTCTTATCTTTCACTTTCATGTTTTTCTTACTGGTTGCTCTGCTTTTTTGTTTTTCATGAGCATTTTCTTCTGTTTTTAAGTCGAGGTAAGAAAATTTTATAAGCAGTTGATCAATGATTTCATTTGTTTTAGACTTTTATGAATTAGTGAACTTGTTACGTGACTACTCCTATGTTAATTTATTCTTTGCTAACTTCTTGATCCATTTTATGTTTCTTGTTACATAGTTGAGTTCTAATTTTGTTGAATGTTCTATTACGTGATTTTTTAGCTGGTCTCCAGTTTATTATGAGTATAATTTTTATAGCTTTTTTTACTTTATTTAGGCTTAAACATTCTACCTTGAATAGTTTTGCAGTACATGGAAATATCAAACTTTTCTTGCCGAGATGATATTTATTTGTTCACAGTGATGTCGTTCTCCCATAAACATGTTCTCTAAAATTATTTTAGCAAACGAATGACTCAAATGGAGTATCACTAGTGCATAGCACCTTTTCATGGAGTATTCATCAGAGTACCAATGGATAGTTATTTATTAACAGATTTCCTATTGTAGGAATTAAGCCTCACAAAAATGGCAGGAAAAATATGTATAAGTAGAAAGGTAGAAACAGGATGTTAATAGCTCATCACCTTGGTTTACCATTTGTGTGATGAAAGGAGTCAAGAAATAAAACCTAAAAGAACCTCCACAAACAGCAAGATGAGGCACCATATCTGGCATTTCTAGCAAGACCAACTTTTAGAGATAATTGACTTAGAAAATTCTAATAACTCTTATTAATGTGTTATTCCGTTTTATCATTGCAATTTTATAAGTTGTAGACGGAAGTGCGGTTTCAATTTTGTTTGACATTACCAACTCTGCTTCTTCCTCTTATAACCATTACAACAGAATATTGGAATTGCTCTTAGGTGCTGCTGACACTATTCCGTAAATTATTCATGAGAATGAATTGTTCTTATACATGTCCTTTAGCCATTAGATGATTAGAAATATTTTTTGTAATGATGATTGCTGTAAAGATTTCTTCTTAGTACTCGATAAATTGAAGTGGACTCACCACATTAAATGAACTGATAAATTTCACCAATCATTTTTTTTTTTTAAATATTAATCTTCTTGTTGACAAGGTTGAACCTGTTTGGTAATCCACAGAGTGTTTTTCATTGCCATACTCACACAAATGAAATGCATGATAATTTGCATAACTGTGTTGTGCTATGTGATAAGTGCATTTTGTGCACTTATTTATACCATATAATTAAATTTTTATGTCGTCAAATTATTAATTTTTACCTAACTTGAGTTACTTTTGTTTTTAGTGACAGACCTGTTTTAAAGCATTTGGAAAGATAAATTGGCCATTGGACGGATTTTTTGAAGACTAATATTCACACTTTGAAAATTGAAGGGTTTAAATTGAATTGAAGAAGACATGGCTGCACAATTGGATGAACTCAAGGACTAAATTGCACTATTTTAAGAGAATTGAAAGCTTGATGAAAATTATACACTAAATGGGCCTACTTTTGGACTTATATTTGGAATAAAAATCAACCAATTGGGCTCTTATTAAAGAAAAAAAGAAAAAAAGAAAAAAAAAAGACCGTGGAGGCTGCCGGCACTTTTGGAGGCGGAATTGGGCTGCTCTTGGAAGAGAGATATGCACACGGCCAGAAATTTATAAGGTGGCTAGATACATATTACGAAAACACAGAAAACGGCTGGCTGGAAGAAAAAAATGGTCTGCTGCTGGAACAAATACATAGGCGGCTGCCATTGAATGTGTATACATATACACATGAGCTACATGAGGAACTGAAAGATATATATTCATGCAAAAGGTGGCTGGTGACATATATACACACGCAACTAAAGGTGGCCAGAAACTGAAGACGAAAGGCAGCCAAGGAATATATATATAAATACACGTGCAACCCAACGTAGACGGTAGGAATTTGGATATTAATCACATTTCATCCATTTTTGGTGATGTCTTTTATCCTGTCGTTATTTAATTTTCACATTATGTTAGGTTAAATTATTTTTTGCTAGGATTTGCGATGAACCTTATATTATGAACTTTTAACTTTTGAATTTTATTTATTTTGACGTTAAAATAGGTTTTTTAATTATTGAATGATTGATATAGATTTTATTTTCTTTACAATTATATGCACAGTCAGTTGTACGAGTTTTGTGACTTGTTTTTACTCTCGAAAGATGGAAAATAAGTTAGATATTGTGTCAATTGTCGTAAAATTCGATAGGCAATAGAAATATACTACTATGTTTTACGTGACCTTTAATCATTCACAAAACCAATAATTCATTTTTATATGTTAGCATCTGTCGTAGACATATAGGCAGGTCATATGTAAAAATAGGTTTGATTCTACTCGAGAGAGATTGATAAACAAATTAGGAATATAAATCTTCATAATCGAATTGTCTTGTCAATTTTATAAAATTCAGGTTAAAGGGATTTAATATAAGGGGATTCGGGATCATAGTACGCATTTCTTTATCATATTTTTATAAAACTTACATTAATTTAGTTAATTTAGGCCTTAAATTTATAAGTAGATTATTAAAACATAATCTAGTTAGCGAAAAATCATGAATTTCTATTATTTCGGTTAAGACGAAGTTAGCTTGAATTTAAACTAATCAATCTTTGTGGGACGATACTTCGACTCAAAATCCACTTTATTATTTGTTAACGAATTGTACATTTACGGTGATTTTAATTTGAAATGTATTTTTCGTGAACACTATGACATGTAAAAATATCGTTTGTGTCCATTACAAAAGACATAACCTAATGAATCATATTGCGAATTGGCAAAATAGACAAAACTACATTGCTATACATGATGGGAAAAACACTGAATGAATTCATATATCGACACAAGTAGCATTTGTTAAAATACATACTATAATACACAATCTGGAGTAAGCAATGACTTAAATCTATTCATATAAAGAAAAAAGTATCACGTGTTATATTTTATTCATGTAAAGAAAAAAGTATCATGTGTTATATTTTAAGAGGGATCATTGTAAATCCATTTACAGTGAATCTATAATGAATTGTTTTTGGATATTGAGCAAGAAACCAATATGGAAACTAGTAAAATTATAGGTTTTCAATATATGCAAAGAAGAGAGAATAATTAACAATAGAATGGAGAAAGTAAGGAAATAGATAAATTTTTAGGATTTAAAAAAGGAAAGATAACTTGTGGGGGAGATTAAATGATTTTGTTAATGAATGTTGTGATTTTATTAATTAGTTAAGAGAGAGGTGTTGGAGAATAAGAGTATCAAGATCTACAACTTTCATTCCTCACAACGCAAATCATCCCACCCCATATGATTGCAATAGAATAGATATTTAGGATGGTGTTAATATCACTGGAAAGATTAAAGCGGACAATCGATTTTGATGAACAATTAGATCCAAGGATTTTTCTTGATTGATTATATTTAATTCAAAAATATTTTAATTGGTATAACACGTTGACCATCAACATATTTGCTTAGCCAACACTAAATTTATCAAGTTTCCTAAGCGTTTTTTACATTATTACTCGTAGCCACGAACAATTAGTTGCCATTATATGACACGAGATGAAATCTACAATAGGTCTTTACTTATGGATTATCTCCTTAACCATAGAAAAACTCTTCTTCTATTACTTATTACATGACTCATTTTAACGAGTATCACTTTTCTTAATGGTCTTCGATTTGAACTGAGACATGAGGTCCTTTTACACTACTGGAGTCATTAGTCAACTTATTTTGATCTTGGTTGGTTATAAAGGAGGGTTTTTTTTGACATTTTATAGTTCCAACTCCTCTAAATTGAGAGGGAGATTGATACTTTACGGTCGATATTCTTTCCCTAGATTATCTTTGTAGGTAATTACAAGGATTCTTCTGGCAAAATTATCTTTACAACATTTTAGACAACTATTATAAAATTTCTACAACTTCTTACATGAAACATCTAGATAAAAGTTCCTTTTGCACGCCTATTCTTCATTCTAGTTTGTTCCAACAAGTTCCTTTCATAAAATTTTCCAGCATGGACCTTCTCCACAATATTCTCCATGTTTATAGAGTTTTCTAGAAACTCATTCAAAATTATTCAAAATATAAGGTTGTT